AAAAAGATTTATGACCATTTTTCACACTCATGACCACTGCAGCACACACACACACACACACACACACACACACACACACACACACACACCCATGGTCATGTGATCAAAATTCAGATGCTTGGCAACCGGTTCACATTTATGATGTATTGTCCCGGGGTCCTTTTGCAACCTTCTTACAAGCAAAGTCAATGGGAAAACCAGATTCACTTACCAACCTTGTTACTGACTTAAAAACTGCAGTGATTCACTTCACAACTGTGACAAGAAAGGTTCTAAAATGGGGGAAAACTCACTTTTCAAATGTCTCACCTAGCATCGGAAACTATGGACTCAATTCTGGTTGTTAAGTTGAGGTCTACTTGTATATTGCTGATGCAGACTGCGAGTGTAGCCAAGCCTAAAATGGCCAAGGCTAGGTGTACCCATTACATCAACTTTCTGTACAAAAATAAGAACTCTGGTACAACACTTATGACTGCTAAGCTGTTAAGTGTAGAAGCCATTCGCTTAAATTTTGCCTTTCTCAGGAATTCATTGTGGCTTTAAGAAAACGGGTATTATTCAACCATAATTTTCCAATACCACCACGAGAATAACAATGTATTGTATTGCAGTAGAAAGTTTTGACTACTTGAAAAATTATTTACCAATGTTGAATGCTGTAGTTTAGCTATTGCAAAATTTTGAAAACTATAGATTATAGTTTTAATTGATTCCAAGCGCAGAATTCAGAGTTCCTTGTTTAAGATGGGTGCTTGGATCTGGCCCTGGAAACAGGGATGGACCAGCACGCGGTGCCTCTGCCAGCAAACACAGAGCTCGTGACGGCCACGTGCGGCCCTCCTAAGCTCCGATTTTACTGGTGGTTGGTTGCAGGAGGCTGTCGTAACTGAAAACGGAGCTCGGGAGCCCATTTTTGCTAGCAGAGCACTAGGGCTACCACAGGCGGCCCCGACACAAGTTATATCCAGCTGGCCATGCCCACCCTGAAACTCTGAAGTCAAACACAACCCTGATGCAGCCCTCAATGAAATCAAGATTGACATCCCTGATTTAAAGGATTTTGGCAACATATTATTATGAATTATTGGCCACATATCTCACACAATGATCGTAGATAGCTCACAACCACCACATTTTGAGTGAACAAGGCATACCGTACCCATAAAGTGTTAAAAATGAAGAGACTCCATGTATGACTATAGAATAGATAGATAGGTAGATAGGTAGGTAGATGGTAGATAGATAGATAGATAGATAGATAGATAGATAGATAGATAGATAGATAG